ATGATACAAACTATGGACAAAGCGAGAGGCATCAGATGGACACTAACAATTAATAATTGATTGGCCGATGATACAAACTATGGACAAAGCGAGAGGCATCAGATGGACACTAACAATTAATAATTGATTGGCCGATGATACAAACTATGGACAAAGCGAGAGGCATCAGATGGACACTAACAATTAATAATTGATTGGCCGATGATACAAACTATGGACAAAGCGAGAGGCATCAGATGGACACTAACAATTAATAATTGATTGGCCGATGATACAAACTATGGACAAAGCGAGAGGCATCAGATGGACACTAACAATTAATAATTGATTGGCCGATGATACAAACTATGGACAAAGCGAGAGGCATCAGATGGACACTAACAATTAATAATTGATTGGCCGATGATACAAACTATGGACAAAGCGAGAGGCATCAGATGGACACTAACAATTAATAATTGATTGGCCGATGATACAAACTATGGACAAAGCGAGAGGCATCAGATGGACACTAAAAGCTGTCATAGAGGACCTGGATTTTGCTGATAACATAACTCTACAAGCCAGCAGTAAAAACAAACATGACGAAAAAACTAAAACAGACTTATTTATTTTGTTAATGGAGTTAAACTTTAATTAAACATTAAACAAAACAAACGTTATGAATACACCAAGAACTTGTTAAAATAAACAACACACAATTATATAGGTAAAGGGTATAAAAGATTTCAAATATTTAGGCAGCATTGTCAATTATGAAGGAGACTGTATCGGTGACATGAATGCATGCATTTCTAAAGCCAACCAGTATAAACTGTAAACAGTGTGGCCGAGTTATAGACAACAGGTCTATTAACCCGAACTTCTCTAGTTTGAATCCACTAACTTCTTTTGGTTAACTGAAGAGAGTCAAAATAGGTAAAGGGAGCTGGGCATTGTGATAATCACATGTGCCTTTGTAAGCAAGTTTTAATTTTATGAATAGACGCCAACAACTTCTAATACCAAGTTTAATGATTACCTCATAATTAATTTTGTAAAACTTTATTTTACAATATGCCATACGAAATATTTACTTTGACATTAGCGTAACAATTAAAACTACTATACAAGTAATCATTTCTATATTTCCAAGACTTCTTACAATAACAGTGTTAAAAAACGAAACACATGCCCTATGGTGGAATAAAAAGCACCTTGCATAAATTAATTTCCTCACTATCTTACCTCACCTTACTTTATAGAATCTGACTCACCCTTTCTTCTACTGCACCGTTGCAGAGCGCGCAGTACTTGTTGCCATAGACAACACCAGTGACGTTGTCCAGTACGTGCATGAAGGTGTCACTGGTCGTCGCCTCAGGTGGGGGGACATCCTCACAGCTCACCCTCAACTCCTTGGCACCGGCGTAACCTGCAGGACAAGACCGGATGTAGAGATAAGATTCGTTCTCAGACCTCCCGTCACAGCCTAGTAGAGGGGGTGTTCGATCAGTGAGTCCAGTCTGGTCAAGAATAGAAGAGGTCCTTTCGAAAATAGGGCTTGATGCATTTAATGCTACAACGTTGTATCCAACGAGGTCATGAATAGTCGAAGATTGATTCGATTGTTGGTAAGGTGGAGTCAGTATTTCTGACAAATCAGGACAGCACATGTCATAGAACTGACATTCCGGTCTTTTACAATGACATGTAACGCATCGGACTGAGGAGCAGGTATCTGACTGTCCAGCTAGGCTGACCACTTGTCCATTGCTGCATCGAAGAGGGCACGCTTGCAAGATACCATCCTCCAAACTACTGTTACTCTTAACGGTCAAGCTAATAGCGTTGGACATTGCTGAAGCATGTTCATACTCTACTGGTGCCTGATTATCTTGAGGCAAGTCTGGATTAATTAAATTTTCTACAGAGCTGATTGTTTTACTATAAGTTTTAGTGTGATCAGCCTCCACTTTAGAAAAGATGTTTAAACTATCAAAAATGGTAAAATTTTCTTGGCTGTTTATTGTTTTTTCCGTATTCAACATGCCATTGACCAGTACCAAAATACATAAACAAGAAAAAAATTTCAACAGATGTTTGTACGTACTGCTACTGTTAACCATGTTGAGAATACTTTTAAAAATCCAGCTAAAAGAAATCTTTCCTAGTATATCACATTTTTTTTTTAAATTTTAAGATTTAAACAAAAAATCTGTGTGCATTTTACAATGATGTTTTTTGTATCATTAACTTTTCAGTAACAGAAACAAACAATACTTTTCCAAATCTATTCACTAGGATCGGAACTAAAACATGTCGACAACAACGCAATAAATGATATGCTGTTTAAAAGGTGGCCTTACAATGAAGGTTCTATCAGAGAATGGCTGCCGTTATCTAGGGCCTTATCTAGGGCTATTAAAATATTTGATTTCTATTTACTCTAGCCATAGTTGCTGCATTCGCGGCTAATAGCCATTAGCATAGCTTTAAAAACAAAGGGATGGAATACAGGGAAATTGCAATCACTGGTTCTCGATTGTGAGTGGTTGCCCTTTTGAACCTGAATCGTTAAAAGAGTGTTGTAAAAAAAAATTGTTCAGAAGGGACAAAACCCGTGACAACGATTTGTGGCTATCTCCCTTGGATTAATGTCCTGTAATTATTGAGTTATTTCTCTTGTGTCCTGTGGTTGTATTGATGGTGTTTCCCGAGGCATTAGCTAAACCAACAAACTGGTCAAATCAAAGTAATTAAATTTGACAGTGCCCTGGTTTTTAAATGTTATTTGTTTGAAAATGGGGAGTTTTCATTTTATTTTAAAAGATTATATTGATTTTGAGCGCGGTTATTTTAGAAAATAAAATAATTAATTTCAAAGTAAATTGTATTTAAAAGCTTTTTGGTGTACTTTTAGTTGTTGGCGTCAGACTAGGTTAATGAGCTTCACTGTCCAGGCTGATGGTGCTTATCTTACGTGACCGAGTAAATTAGTCGATTTTACACTAACAATATTTGTACTGATAGAAAATGTAGTCAAAAGTATGAAAGATATCGTGCCATTACGAATAACTGCAAGAGTGATAAAAAAAACTACAATGTAAATACTAAAATTTAATTTACTAATAGCAGTTGCAATGTATATCATTTACTGTGAAACTACTTGTTAAGATAATATATAGTAAGCTTTGTGAAATAAATGGAGCAATCATGAAAATGGTAGTGACTCTGGTCTGTAAATTAAATAACTATAAAGAAAAGCGTGGGTCTCTTCAGAAATATTAGACACTACTATTTAAATAACTATAAAGAAAAGCGTGGGTCTTTTCCTATAGATACAAAATTGACCAACGCTTTTTTCTTTATAGTAATTTAAATAGTTGTGACTAATTAGTGTCAACCTATTAAACAAAGTAACAAAGTGTGTGTGTGTGCCAATACTTCCCTATTAATCTTTGTAATCTAATATAACAATCAATCTTTGACATCAAATGTAACAGAGTTTTGATCTCACCCTTTCCCCCCCCCCTCCACAAACACACACACACACCTCATCTCCAGGAAACGACAGAAGAGTCATGAGCCTCACCCATACAACGTACCCGATCATGTCTTTGAGGTCAGAGACCCCTACGCCGAGCCGACCCCGGAAAACATCTATGACGTCATTCCAGATCACACCCAACCCCTGGACCATCAGTTCTACATCGACGTTATCGACGGGACGATAACCTATACTGGCACTGTATTCGATACCTACCGCACAGCAAATGGTGTTGACGATGTCATACTCGATACCGCCGGGAAGGTATCGAAGGGAGACTCTGGAGCTTTAACAAAGAAGCGAGTACAAGAGTTCTGGCATCAGTTATCAGATCAGTTCCCGCCTGAAGAATCAAACACGCCCACACTCCCAACTCGGAATAAACCCGTGTTTAGCTTTAACACCAAACAAAATCGAGGAATGCAAGAAATGCTCGAACTAAACATTATACCAGGTGGCGTCTGTAAAGACACGCCAGATTCTAGGTATGCAGGGTATGGTGGTGTGGGGGGGAGATAGTATTCATTGTTAACTGATCTGCAAGTGATGTGGAAGTGGCATTAATTTTTCTGGGGTATATACTTGTGAATGAGGGTCGGAGTTAATGTCTCAATATACAGGAGAGGGAGGTTGCAGTAATTTCTAGACGATCTACAAATGATGGGAAGGTGACTTTAATGTCTTGTTCTACAGGTGATGGGAGGGGATTTTAATATCTGGAGGATCTAAATGTGATTGGGAGGTGGCATTAATATTTGGAACGACAGAATATTGGGAGGTGGATTTGATACTGCAGTATTTACAGTTGGTGGGGAAATGACACTTACGAACCTTCATGTGATGTGGTGGGGGCATTATTTACAGTATTATCTAGACACGATGGGGTGTTGGCATGACTTTCAGTAGAGTCGATGGAGAGGTGGCAGTATACAGCGAAACATCTATAGATAGAGTAACATTTGAAGGACAGCCCCCCCCCCTACACAGCACGTATGTTGAGACTAGACTGTATGGGAGTCTGCACCATTTCTTTACCATACTTTAAAGGCCTACATCAACTAGAGATTTGTCAAGCCAGGAACCTTCATTGTTTTTTTTCGCCGCCAAATTTGCTATAGCACTCACTAAAATAAAAAAAGAAACAAAACAATCATGATTGAAGACGTGTATTTAAGAACCATTGAATAATAAAACAATCAGTGTAACATCAATTTAATTGCAGGATTACAATTATTATATAAAAGCATTGTGACAGTTGTTCGCAAAAAAATAAAAATAAAATGATAATCATCGTTTCATGTAAATAAATACGGCTTTAGTTGTAATCAAAATCCTCAGTTTTTGTATATTGCTCTTTGAACATAAGCATTAATATTGTTATTATGTATGTTTGAACCAATAAAATATTTTCACGGATGTTATCCAGTCATTTGTTATCCCCTATGTTTATCACAGTAGTATATGTGATAACTTATGTCTTGGTGACATCTGGTTTTGCCTTGGTCGTGGAACTGGTCAGGTTGGTGCCAGGTGTATCACCGGAAGTGACGTCAGACCGGTGCAGGTACAAGTTAAGGACTCTCCTGTTGAAGGTGTAGGAGAGGAAGATGAACATTCCCTGGAGGCCGTTGAGCACGATCGCGATGTACCTGGGGAATACGAGATTAAAATAGATTTGGCCCTACAGAATACAAGATTCAAATAGATTTGTTCCTGGGGAATACAAGATTCAAATAGAATTGGCCCTAAGTATGTCAACCCACTACACACCTGAGTATGTCAACCCTCCATGCACCTAAGTTTATCGACGCACCACACACTTATGTCAACCGACGACACACCTATATCAACCCACCACACACCTGAGTATGTCAACCCACCACAAACCTGAGTATGTCCACATTTAGCGCCTCTGCCATTAACGAAACAACCCAGAAAACTCCAATCATGGACGACAACTTGACGTAGATATAGATGTTACTGGAGTCGTCGCCCTTGGAAGAATCTGTCACCTGAAGTTTCTTCACCTGGTCTATACGTCTGACGGTCACGGCGAAAAATGTGATGTTGGCCAGAGTTATGGCCGCTAGAGGTCCAATCAGGGATACCCCTTTGAAATAGATGTAAGTAATATCGTAATACCTGTCTGTTATTCTATTGAAGATAGATACATTGATTACTTAACATTTATTTTAAATATTTTAACTACCCTAAATAGCATCGAATTATTGTTCTAAATATTTATTTCAGAATCTATATATAGATTCTCCACGTGGGACAATGCGGGACACAACTCGCCCCCCCCTCCCCCTCCTGGCTCTCCAGGCATGCGCAACAGACCATATCGCTACCACCCCAACCACAACAATAGTCTGGTGAGCTGAGGTTCACGCCGAATTTTTACAATCGTAGAGCCGGGTCGAATTAGTGACGGCTATATAGGGGCAGATAATTTAGTTTTTAAACGATTTGAAAATAAGGAGAGGTAAGAAGTTCTGGTTGGTCTTTTCATTGTCATCTGTGAACTGTCGTCACGGACGGCTATTTTCACGGGAGCGGGGAGGGAGGGGGGATAACAAATTTGTGGGCATAATTATTTTATACTACATTCTCGCAATGGTGGACTGGGTCGCAATGAATGATTCGGTTATTTTCGAATTTTAAGTAAAAAATTGCATCTTTTTTCACAGTCCTTTAACAAACTCCAGTACCCACTTCTCTGGGTAACTTAAGCTTCGCCTACGCTAAAATACTTCCAATACATTTCTCGCCATTACTATCTTGTAGACATGTAAACAGTACCCATGGTGTAATGTAGTACAAACTTACCGTTCACGAGGTAGGAGTCCAGGTAACATCTCGTTTCCCCATACCCTATGGTTCTCCCTCCTGACTGGACGTACGACGCCACCACCACACCGACCACAACGACAACCGGCAGCAACAACGACGCGACCATCTGCTTGGCCTGATACACATTCTGGGACCTGCGACTGGTGTGGGTGACGCGAGTCTTGGAGTTGAAGACACGGAACATGTGCAGACTACAGAGGAAGCTCCAGGAGAACATCCACAGCCAGCAGAAGTGGGTCGTGATAGCCAGGGCGGTGCACGCCAGGTCAGGACCGGATCTAAGAAAATATTTGTTTACGTCAAGCATATTTTAATCTTTTGTGTATAACTACGCTAGTCATCAATCATATGTATATGTATATATATATATATATATATATATATATATATATATATATATATATATGTATATATATATATGATATATATATATATATATATATATATATATATATTAT